GACAAGCATTTGATAAAGATGGAAATTTTTGTCGTTTTTCACCTATTTTACCGTAAGTTTTAAAGAAATGTTTATTTTGACTTTGTTTACTTGAATTTAAGATGGGACACACGAGATTTGATAAACATAAAATGAAAAACATCATAACGGAGTTAAAATATCAATTAGGTGTGAAACAAAAAATCTTATTTTACAATCGAGATGATATTCATAGACTTATCAAAAAAATGTCCTATAACCTTCTATAAAATAATCAAATATATATATACGTCTACTAAGATAAGCTATCGATATTCTAAGAAATAAACGAAACTGAATTGATTTCTATTTTTGATCAAATTCTCTTTCTATTTATTTAAATATAGAGAAACATTACCATTTCGTGCTTCGATTCGTGATTTTGATCTTGATCCACCACTTACTTACAAAGGTCTCAAAGACGCTTATCATACAGGTGAACATATTCATCTATATATTTTCATATATTTTACATAGTTTTATTTCTAATAGGAACTGTATTAAAAGAAAAAAGTATTCATATTAATTATTGTTATTCATCTCCAGCACTTCGTTGTGTTCAAACAGCTGCAAAAATTCTTGAAGGTTTACAATTACAAAATAGAATCAAAATTCGGTAAAGCATTTTCTTAATAGAATATCTTACAAAGAGAAAAACTAAATGAATTGTTTCTTTTTTATTTATTTTGTTCTCATTAAAAGTATTGAACCAGGTTTATTTGAATGTACTGGTTGGTATACAACAAGTGAAACAAGCAATATTATAACAATGCCTAGATTTATGACAAAAAAAGAACTTTTAGAAAATAAATATTCTATTGATAAAAATTATCGTGAACAAATGACGATACCTGAAGTATCTCAATTTGAAAATGAATTAGAATTTTATCAACGTAGTCATGCTGTTGCAGCAAGTATACTTAAAATGCATGAACAGGAACATATTACACAAATACAACAGGGACAAATTACACCACAACAACAATTACATATTTTATTTATCGGTATGATGATAGTTGTTGTTGGTTTTTTTTTCTTATGTAATAAAATATTCTTGTTTAGCACATGCTCCAAGTTTAGAAACATGTACACGTAAATTATGTGGTGGAAAATTTCGTCCAGATACATTACCACATGTTATTCGAAATGTTGATTTTCTTACAGTAAATAAATTTTCTACAAAAATCAAAAAGATTTTTTTCTTAAAAATTATATTTAGATGACTGTCATTGAAAAAACGGATAATAATGCTGATAAATGGATATTTCGTCGAAGTTCATTTTATGGCGATGAATTTTAATTTCTTTTTCGTTTTTCTTTCTTTATTTCTGGTGATTTTTTTCTAATAAATGTATACAGATGATTTCGTGTAGAACAAAATAACAGAAGTGAATTTTAATTTTTTTTCATTTGTATTTTTTTCCATCTATTATGTTGATTGAAAATTCTATTTGTGTTTTTATTTTCTTATGTTTCAAAACAAAAAAAAAATTAAAAGGAAAAAGAACGATATTTTAGTTAATTTCATCTTTTAGATATAAATGCCGTCCATTTAATTTGTAATTGTTTAATATAGAATACATATATATATACATAGACACAAAATGAACAACACAACAACAACAACAGCAAATACATCAATACCTATCACAAAGATGGTTAATGATTTATTTTTGCAATGGCTTTCATTAGCAGATACACGTACGACACTTTATGCTGCATTGCAGAGTGTTCGAACAAATAGTAAAATGCCTGATCCCATTATTTATCCAAAGGTTTGTGTAGAATTAAAACCAAAAAGTTTTACAATAGGAAGTAGAATACTTATCAATAATAGGATCTCTTTGCTTTTTCTTTTGTTCTACATAGACTTATACAACACGTGGTGGGGGTTTTTCCAAACCACAACATTTTGATTCACCACCTGTTTCACCTGTACCACGAACAGCTTCAAGTCCACGTAGTGGTTTATCTTCAATTCCATCAACTGGTGAAAATATTTCTGGTTTAACTGGTAGTAATGATGAACGGAAACAACGTTCATTAAAGAAAAAATATCCAATAGTGAATGGTGGTACGACTCCTAGTATTACCACAATCAGCAGCATCGATCAACAACAAGTAAGTTTTTCTTTCCTCTCTTTTATGCTTTGTCGCATTCGTAATAGGAAAATTATTGGTATCCATAGAAGAAGAAGAAGAAAAAGAAAAAGAAACATACGGATGTAACTAGGATGTATTCCGTTTTTTTTTCTCTTTTTCCATCTTTGTTATCCATCCATTACATCATATGTGTGTGTGTTGTACGTGAAAGGAGAAAAATCTCTCGTCAACAAGAATCGTACCATTAGTCGTAGATATTCTGGAGAGAGCAATACTTGGTGACAGCATGATAGAGCAGTTGAGGAAAAAAGAGAAAAAGAAGAATCGTCATATTCGTTGTTTGTTGATTTAGTATATCGTTGTGTATATGGGATTGAGAATAGAAGAATGTTTGCAGGGTAAAGATCTATATTAATAGAGACAGGCAGTTAACAAGAAAGAAAAATTTGAAGAGAGCGAGAGAGGTCAAAAAGACAACTGATTCGGATAAGTTAAAATAAGTATATGACAATTTTTATTTTACTATTGAAATTTTATATATTTACTTTTTTTTTTTCTCATTGAGAATATATACATAAGTAACAAATAATAGTAGACTCTTAAAATATATTTAATATGTCTAAATTTTGCATCCAACACTGTCATATATATATATATATATATATATATTCAGTTTGTCACCTACACACGATGATTAGTCATACATTGCTATTTGATATCAGTATATAACTATGGTTGTTGACATGTTTTAAAAAAGGACTAGATACTTCATACAATCATTCGTTTTCTTTTTTTCTCTTTCTGTTACTGTCGACATTCTGTTTTTTTATTGCGAACATATAACGGTCGAATTTTTTCTTTTTTTTTTTCTGCTTCGATTTTGTTTATTTTTTTTCTTTCTACTTTCATCTTTAGCTCATTCGCTCTCTCAACTCTCTCGACTCATAAATGAAGTAGTAAGTAAGAGGTGGGTCGGCACTCTTGTCGATTTTGCGGTTCGCCGACGTACACACACATACAAAGCTTATCACAAGTGTTAAGCATTAAAAAGGAGAGTACACGAATGAAAAAGAGAGAATAGGGAAGAGATGGAACGAGTCAAAATGAATAACGTAAAAAAAAAAAAGAAGAAAAAAGAAACAATTTGTTGTATGCGCATGTATATGAGAAAGAGAAGAATCAAACGAAAGTCATAAAGACAATTCTTCCTCTTATACTCTAGATGCTAAGAATATGACAGTGACCAGTGTACCTTGTCAGGTGGTTCGTTCGACCACACAAGTTTATTTCAATATACGAATTGATCAGAAACGCCGACGGGCAATACATTTTTGCGAACAGTGTCGATATTATGGCCGTTATTGTGATGCTATTCATAAAGGTAGAATTAAAAAAAAAGAAAACATAAATATAAAGATTTGTTTTTTTTTTATTATCTGTCTCTCTGAGTCAGATAACAAAAAAAAAAGAACGATAAAAAAAACACATATTTTTGAATCCATACAGGCTTTTGCCGACCTGTTTCGACACCATTGGCACGTATATCGATATCACCAAAAATTCCCAAATCACATATCAATTTTGTTTTTGAAAAACGTTATCCAGCTGACCAAATACAGCAACATATACAACAACAAATTCGACAAAAATTTACCAATCCAGAGGCTATATGGCCACTTAAACCACAAGCAATAGTAGGACAATCTACTATACCCGATCAGCAACATCGATCGGCTCTCTTCATTTCTGAGGTAGATGCATGATAAATAGTTTATTTTATCTTGTGGATAATTTATTAAGAAATCTTTCATAAAACTTAGATGATAGAATTTGAATTTAAGTTTTTTTTTCCTTTATTTTTTATTTTCATTTTATTAAATCTTTTTTTTTTATTTGCTATTTGTTAGGTATCCGGGGGTAAAGTTTCACCATCTCAATTAGCTAAATCAGAACCTTTACCAACTTCACCATCAACATCAACAAGTGTTATTCAAAATCGAATACCATCAACAACAACAACAACAGCAACAACAGGTATACCATCAAATGGTACAATATCAAAACCGACTCAACAAACACCTATATTACAACCTTCTTCACAATCTCCATCAACGATTATTCATGATCTATCACCAACACCAACATCACCTAAACCAATTGTTAGTGGAGTTGCTTCTTTACGTGAACATTTTGATAGTGTTGAACATTCACCATCAATTACAAAAGCAAAAACCCCAATACAAGCTAAATCACCTGTTTCGCCAGTACCTACTGATAATATTCAACGACAAACATCTATACCATCAAAAACAACACCACAACCACCACCATCAACAACAACAACAACCGTTAAAGAAATTTCACCAATACCAACAACAGTTATTAAACCTGAAGAAACATCGAAATCAGTTGACACTATTCCTAAATTTTATTTTCCTAATGGACAAATAACAATGACATCAACAACTGATACATTACTTAATAAGCAATTACGTCACGTTAAAGAAGAATTATTTTTACCAAAACATGATAAATTACATTTAGAAGATTTTGGAAAATTAGCCCAAGTATGAAAAAAACAAAACAATCATTTATTTTTATGAAAAATTAAATCAAATTTGTTTTTTTTTGTTTAGTTAATTGATTTAAGTTTATATTGGAAAACACCTTTATTTCGTGCATGTGTACAAGATTCATTAGGATCAAAAACAACCATAACATCGAATACAACTGTAACATATTCACAATTTGAATCACTTTGGAAAAAGTATTCATATATTTTTAATAATTATTATTTACAAAAGAACAAAAATAAAAAACTTTTTTTTCTTTAGATTATGTAAAAATCATCATGATAATGCATCAAAATTTATTCATTTACTGGTTCTATCATCACCATCATCATTGCCAATCAATCGTCAATATTTAACTGTTGATGATTGGGATTATTTAATACAAGATATTATTGATACGCATCCTGGTTTGAAATTTCTACGTGAAGCACGAGAATTTCATTCAAGATATATTAAAACTGTTGTAGCTAGAGTTTATTATAATTGTAATCGATCATGGTCAGGAAAATTAACTGTACAAGAATTAAGACGATCAAATTTTCTTTCGGTAAGAATTTTTTTTTTTTTATAATTTATCAAATAATATTTTATTTAAATTAATACTAAGAAAAACATAAAAATCTTGATGCCAAATATAATTATAACCTTAAAAATAAGTTCTTTATGAAAACGATCGTTTGTGCTTTATATACTTATCTCTCATATGAGATATATAAGTGTTAATAAAGTGTTGAATTCTATAAGAAAAAGAAAACGCTAGATTCTTATTGATTATGACAGACATTTGTATCTGCTATGATACAAATAACAACGGCGGAGTGTTTTTGTCATTCATCCCTTTTGGCACTGATTATAATGTGTTATACTTAATGTGTTGTTGCTTTTTTTTCTTGGACAAGTTCTCAATGAAAATCAATATTTTTGTCTTTTTTTCTTGTTTATTTTATTTAAGACTCTCGATCGAATCGAAGAAGAAGAAGATATTAATCGTATTCATGATTATTTTTCATATGAACATTTTTATGTAATTTATTGTAAATTTTGGGAATTAGATTCTGATCATGATTTATTAATAAGTCGTGATGATTTAGCTAAACATAATAATGGCGGTAAATAATAATAATAGACTAATTTCTATTTACATAATTATTATTGATTTTTTTTTTACTTAGCTATTTCAAATAAAATGATCGATCGAATATTTTCGGGTGCTATATCAAAGTAATCTATGGCATAGAATTTTTTTCAATAAGAACATATTGTTTTTCTTTTTTTAATTTTTTGCAGTAGTCAAAATATGCGAGAAGGAAAAATGTCATATTATGAATTTGTATGGTTTCTTATATCTGAAGAAGATAAACGTTCGCCAACAAGGTAAATATATACATATATGTTTCTAAAAATAACATCAAAAAATCTTTTTTTTTTAATATTTATTTTAGTATTGAATATTGGTTTCGTTGTATGGATTTAGATGGTGATGGTGTATTATCAATGTTTGAACTAGATTATTTCTATCAAGAACAAGTACATAAAATGGAAATCTATGGTATTGAATATATGCCATTTGAAGATTGTATATGTCAAGTATGAATAAAAAACAAAAAGAAATTGGATTTTTTTTTTAAAATTATTTTATTTGAATTTAGATGCTTGATTTAGTTAAACCTGAAGAAGAAAATAAAATTCGTTTAAAAGATTTAAAACGATGCAAATTAACAAATGTTTTTTTTGATACATTTTTCAATCTTGAAAAATATTTAGATAATGAACAAAAAGATCCTTTTTCAAATGTTAAAGTAAAAACTTGTTTTTTCTTATTTATTTAAAACATATAATCGTATATATATATATCTATAGGATCCCGATTCACCTGATGTATCTGATTGGGTTAAATTTGCTGAAGCTGAATATGATAATTTAACACATGAAGATGGAGCCAATGAAAATCTTGACGATGTGTAAGATAAAGAAGAAAAAAAAACAAATTAAATTTGAAAGATTCTCTTTTGTTTTGTATTTTAATAACAGAAATTATGATGAAGATTTTGAAGATGAAGATGATGGTGTTGCAGGACCCGTTATTGAACAATCGACAAATAAACGAATAGGTCTTGGTGGAAATACTAATGCTGTTTCACCACCACAACGACTTGGTTCAACTGGTAAAATGAACGATATAGATGAACGATGGAAAGATTAGAATATATCGAGTAGAACGATTTTACCCGTTCGTCTTTCTCTCGTTTACTCTTACTATTTTTTTTCATCTTTAACTGTCTTTTTTTTTCTTTTTTTTTTTTGTACTATCTGTTTTTTTTTGTCTCTCTAACGCAATCTCGGAAAATGTACGTCTATATCTATTCTGTTCTGTTTTTTTTTGTTTGTAAACAAACAAGGAAAAAAATCAATGAACATTTCATTTGAAAAAAATTAATATTTCATTATTGATAAAAATGAAGAATTCGAATTTATTAAGCACAAATGTTGATATCATATCTATCTCAATATTGTAAATAAACGATATGCCAAAAGTTTCTAGATAAAATATTTCACATTTTTTTTGCACGTAGTTAAATGCATTGGTAATATATTAGAATTTTGTACTCTTTCGGAATATAATGACGTAAAAAAGTTTAGAGCACTTGTATTTTTGAGATTTCTTCTTGATAGTAATAGCTAGGAAGAATCTGAAAAAAAAACATTTGCATAGCTCAAAGAATTGTCTATCAGAATTTGTGGAACCTAAATACTGCTTGTATGAGGATGTCTGAAAAATCAAGACTCTCCTAAAACGAGTTTTTTAGGATCTATTCAATACTTTTTGGTAATGGCTTTATTTGATAGAGTAAAATGAAATGTCTCAACTCTCTTCATGATCTTCTTTCATCGAACTACATTCAATTTACAGAAGACCCAAGAAGTATTTTTTTTTGTTGTTTTTTGAAAAATTTCAATGATTTCATCGTGTTTGACGCTTTAGGGTCTTCTATAAATTGAATGCAGTTCGATGAAGAAAGGTGAGGAAGAGAGTTGAGACATCTAATTTTACTCTATCAAATACAACCATTTCTAAAAGACTTTCAATAGATCCCAAAAACCTGATTTTGGAGGATTTTGGTTTTCCACATATCCCCATTCAAGCAGTTTTTTTTATTGAAGTTTTTAAGTGCACAAATTCCGATTGGCAAGCTTTTTAATTACTCAAACGTTTTTTTTCAAATTCTTCCTCACTATTACTACCGAGAAGAAAGCTTAAAAATATCGTTGTTCTAAATTTATGTCCGCCACTATATATATACTTCGAATTTTTGTGTAGCTTTTGAATATTGAATTATAAGCAAATCTTGACAGAACTCAAAAAGAGCGATTTCTACTCTGTAAAATGATGCAAAAATAGGCAGTTTTGGTTAATTCACTAAACAATGGCAGAGTTGTGACGGACGGGTATTTTGCACTGAAAAGGTGAACATCAGAAAGATAACCATTTGTCTTGTGATAGACTTTATAAAAGTCTTTACTGCATCTCAACAGTTTGCAGAAAATTTATCGCTTTCTAGAGAATTATTTTCTATATCTTTCAATATATTCCATAAAATTTTGTCGCATGTCTCGAACAGGTTCCATTTAAGATTTTTTCCTCCAAAAAAAAGAATTTTTGAGTTTCTTCAAGGTCTACTTATAGCTATAATTTTCACAAATATTTTAATTTATTAATAATAGATATTTATGATTATAAATATCAAATGAATAGTATTACATTTTTCAATGATTGATTATTAAAAAATTCTATAATGTCACTTCGTTTATATTTGAGACTAAAATGAATAAGGATAAATGTAATATGAGGATGTTGTTCAATAATAGGTTTAAGACCATTCCAATGTGTACGTCCTTTATCATTTGATTGTTCACCATCTAAAAATGTACATTCACAAATAATAACAGGTATTTGATCAAGTAAAACTTTAGCTGAATTCGATCCCGATGCGAAAACATCTGGTGTTGTATCACCAAGAAAAGCAAATAAAGGTACATAAATTTGTTCTATTATATCTATGCCTTGTTTTTTTATTTCTTGAATTTGTTTACCATTTAAATGACTATAATCAGATTTAAGTTTCTTACGTTTTTCATAGAATACATAACCAACACAAGGAACTGTATGATGACAATTTATAATCTCAACACGATACAAATCATCTAAATCAATAATTTGTTTATCTGAAACACCATGTAATGTAAAACGTTTAGAACAAGTTGCAAAAGCTTTCTCATCACCATGATCATTCAATAATTGAGCACTAGTTAGATAAGCATTAAAATGAGGTAAAGATTCATGAGATACATAAATATCAAGTGGCATTGGTGATGAAGGAGAATACATTAATGGAATTTGAAAAGAATGATCAAGATGTGAATGTGTTACAAAGAGACGTCGAAACTTAGTCGTAGTAACGATTGTACCAGCATCTAACATCATATCCATTTCTGGTACAAATAAAGCTGTTGCTTCACCTGCTCGAGAATAACCAGTAAGAGTAAAACGATTATTAAGAATTTTGATTGTAGTTAACGTATACATTATAATCGTATATCTAAATTTTGAATGTCTTCTTTGCACTTCAATTTGCTTTCTTTATATGCATGGTACAGTTTCATATCTCAAAAGCAAACCATTACGATGCGTCATGACTAAGAGTAATTGCGCAAAATAATATTTATACTATGTAATTTCAGAGAACGCTGAAATACAACTTATGAATTAAAAGTCTATAAATATTTACTTTTTGTTAGTCTAAGTCAACATAGCTGTCGTGGTTAGTGTATTGTTTTTCACATACTAAAATTATGATTAGAATTATATGGACATACAAGACTGTCTTTATAAGAAACTAAAGAACTCATGTATACTGAAATGATATGAATAATACGAAATATATATTGATTTAATAGATTATGTACAATCGATAACAGACATTAAAAAAAAAAGAAAATATGATAATTATAAAAAAACTATGTTTTTAAGTAAGAACACTTTAAATGTATTTAATGAACTAGTCAAAAGGGATATTACGATGATATAGATTTAAATCAGAAAATAATAATAATTAGTCGATGATTCATGCAAGATAATAATCGGTTAGAAAGTACGAACAGTAACTTAGCGGAATGGATAAACAAACTAAATAAGTAAATGAACAATAAACAATGTAGACACAATTTATTATTAATCATGATTGTACAGTCGTAATGATAAAAAGAAAAGTCATTTTTTCATCTTCCAGTGGTCTATAATATAGTTTGATATTTACATTTCCTGCATCCAAAAAATGAAGTTTTCTATCAAAACCTTAACAAACAATCATGATATCAAGTCATCTGTTTATTTTAAGCAACTTGACTTGGCTGTTACAAGCTCAATAGCCTATTTAGACCACTGATACATAAAGTGGTAGGTTTAAGATGTTAAAGCAGGACTTTAGACGTTTATAATAAACTTGTAATTTAAGTTTTGCTTGAACTAAAGTCTCTTTTTTTTCACTTGAGTAAATAATATGTATAGAATAACAACTCCTACGTCAAATTACTTCTTGTACATAATCCAGTACATAATATCTTTTTCATTTGTATAAATTTACTTTTACGTAATGTAAAAAATTGTCATTATCAGGAAATTTGTCGCTATCAAACTCGTATTATTCTCAAATCCAACATTACGATGACTGTAAAGGACTGTATACCGAAGTCTACGATGACATAAGTACGTTTAATAGCCGAACATATGACCGTCTACGAGCAGTATATGAATTTTTTGGTAAGTTTATGAAGTCTATATACATCTGTAAATGACCATATATGTTCTTCATTTCTCCGCATACGATTGTATTTCACTGTATTACATGGCTCAATATTACAATCGTATATCTCCGTGATCGTATACGGAGCAATACGATTATATATAGAGAAGAATGGAGCAAAACGGAGATCGTATATTGCTTCCGTGTACGAAGAGAGTAAACGAGCGGTTTTTCTTCGCAAATTATGGTATACAATACCGAGACATACGATCATAATATTGAGTCACATACATTGTTGTATTTCTCCGTATACGATCATTTACGATCGTACGTGCTTGGTCTATAAGGAAACTATTTCGGCATTATGTCGCCGCGTCATTTACGATGAAATATGTACATAAGTTAAAGTGTTATACGTGCCATGAAACGGTCGTATATCAGACGGACACGTCGGTATATACTGACGTTTACCATTATATTTCCCCATAAACAATCTACACGATTGCAATGAAACGAAAACAGTTGTTGCCATAAGTGAAGCATTTTTTCTTTATACCCGTACATATGTATATAACACCAATATCTTTATGCCTATATTCATATGACTACACTTGTATACTTATACTCTTACATCTATGCTCCTCATGACTCTAGTCAAAGGCAACTGTTCTTTGATCTCTAGTTTTATGACGATATCTTTAGATCTGTAGCATTTACCTATGATCGAAGATTTTTAACGCTGTAGCATATTTGCTAGATACAATGTTGACCAATGTTTGTCGGAGTGTGAATCGAATTATAAGGTTAAATCAATTCATTGTATTTCATTCCATTGAGTGAACCAGATCGTTGACGTTAATGATTATTTAAAATAAAGTACGATAGAAAACGAAGACCTTTCAATAATCCATTGACAGTTGGTGTATACAATGCCTTACGATTTTATACGAATGTCGTTTACGGTCGTCGTGTTTTCACGCTAGTTATGATCGACAATATTTCACGGGTACTATTGATGATGGTCGTATTACACAGTGAAGTGTCGTTTATAATAACTGTAAACAAGCACCGTAAAACGGCTGTCACTTTCCATCATAATAGATTGTTATACGATCGTGTACGACCGTGAGTGATTGGCTTGAGTTTTGACATTATTTTAATTTAAACTAAAATATAAATTTTGTTTTTTTTTCTTTTGCTTTTCACTTTTAATTTACTATTTATTCATCTTGATTGTAGACATTGATAGAGATAAATCTATGAATAGTTTCTTTTTCTCATGTCCATATTTTAAAATTATAAGTTTAAAGTGCAAATTTTTCGAATTTTTTTTCGTTAATAATTTTCTTTTTGTTATAATTATTTGATAAATTCATTAAGTTTTTTTTCCTTCATTTGAAGAAAAACAATATTCTAATCTTGTTTAAACTCTCAATCAATAATAGTTATTTATATTTTTTATTTTTCTTTTTTCACATCCAATATTAACTTCATTATAGTCGTCGAGGACTTTTATTCAACTTTCCAGACAGAAAATGAAACCAGAATCTACTATACATGATTCTATTGGTCATGATTTTATTGACACAAGTTCTTCAACATACAAAATTGAATCAACGAAGATTTTATTAATAATATAATAACACCTAAGGTTATACTTCAATATTTTATTGTTCAAATTCACACTAGAATAAAGAATCTATTGTCCGACCTAAAATAACATATTATTACATTATACAGACAATCACGTCCAATTTCTTTTTTTTTTCATTTTAATTTTTTACTCGTTCTACACAAGTATAAATGCCAAAAATCTTTCTAATCATACATTGAAAGTAATAGTCAACTTGATTCTCCTCGTCTCCATCACACATGCATATGTCCTTCAAGTTCGTGAATGCATGTTGTGTACTATGTCTGCATAGTGAAGGTAATGAAGAAAAGAAAAAAATAAGCAAAAAAAAAAGGAACCGTTTGCATTTGTTTTACCCGATAGTATTTTTCTTTTCTGATCGAACCACTTTCAGTCTAGTGTTTTATAGTTTATACAATTATAAATGAGTTGGTGAATCAATTAAAAATGTATCGACAGGTAAATAAAAAAAATAGTGGAAAGACTAATATCCTAAGCAACATAGTTCAATTGTTCATTTAGTCGACTTTTATTCTATGCTGCAATGAGTAAGATGACCGCAGACATAGGTTAGCAATGACGCGCATGTTCATATGACCATACTAAGAGGAGGGGGAAAAAAAAAGAAAAAAAAACGTAAGACAATCGGTAGGACATGAAGAATGAGCGAATGAGAGAAACTGTCTAGCGAACAAACGTCGCAAATTATTTTCTTCATCCAGTTGCACGTATGTATACCGCAAAGTAAACGACAGTTGGTCTTGATTAATACAAACAGACACGAAATATGCTTGTTCTTGATCCATTGAAACGAGCATTAGTAGGAGAAATATCATCAGACAATAATCAAGTAAGAAAAATGAAAATTTTTATTTTAGTTTAAGTTTAATATGAAGTTTATAGTTTTTAACCTTGAACATTATACAATACAGTAGAAAAAAAAAGACAGAAATAAAAAACCAAATCATCACGTACAAATATTTATCGATAGTATTGAAAATAATATATACTTGAAATAAATACTATTTCTTAATATGTAATTGATCTATTATTTAAATAGATTATAAATATTTCATTTACATTTATCGTATGTTTCAAATTTACAAAAAAAAAAAGAATTATAAACGATTTTTTTTTGTTCTATGGAATTATCAGATTACTTTTGTCTAAAAGTCATTCGGTCATTTGAAATGAGTTGACCTTTTGTTTTATTTTTTTTATTCGTTTTAGTTATCAATATAAGATAAATAGAATTCTGAAATTTTTCATTTTACATCGACTTTCTATCCTTTTCTTTTGTCTTTCTCTATTGAATCAAAACTCATTTAATAAATTATATTTGAACAAGATTAATGAGCTTGTCAATGTTCAATAAAAGGAGACAAGAAAAAGGGATGTGTTAGTTTAGTATGACTACAACGAAAGTAGAACTCATTAGATTGATCAGTTTTTATCACTGAAAAAGAAACTTGAATATTATTGATTTATGTTATTTATTTTAAACTGTACATTGCTAATTTTTGTTTAATGAAACATTAATAAAACTTATCTAAGGTTAAAAATGAATAGAGTATCAAATAACTAAGATAAAAAACAAACGTTCGATATTATTTGAAGAGAATAAAAAGAAATTCATGTTCAGATAAAACTAATTGCAAATTTAACCAAATCGTATAATTATGAAAGTAACTCATATAGTTTAAATAGTAAAAGCAAGACATCCAATTATTATTTTTAAATAACATTATGATACACAAAAGAAAAGATCAAAAATTTATACTGTTAGAATGATTGATGTTCATTTTGAATATAAATTAACTAGATACCCAATACAACCACTCGCATATCTCAAGACTCTCGAGGTGTTATTCAATTGCCATCAGGTGATGAAATATCATCAACAACAGCTAATATAGATCATATCAAAAATAGATATGGTCAACAAATATATATCAATACATATCCTCAATATGATCCAAATGTAAGTTATCATGGTTATGATCTAAGTCGAGATATATCTGAATATCAATTTGGTGCCAACAATGGTCATAATCAACAGAATACAACGGTAAATAATATTCAATTAGAATATTAAAAAAACAAAACAAATAGATAATATTTTTGATAATAATATTCAGAATCGACCTGTGCCAGCTCCAAGAAAAACTCATTCAAATTATAGTTCTGAAAGTGAATTAGTTAAAAGCAAAAATGGTCGTGAACAATGGTCAGGTCGTTTTGATTTTTTCTTTTCAAGTCTTGGTTATGCTGTTGGTTTTGGTGCTGTTTGGCGTTTTCCATATTTATGTTATCGAAATGGTGGAGGTAAAAAAAAGAAACTAAATTTTAAATTTTCTAAAATAATTAAATTTCTTCTTCTTCTTCAGGTGTTTTTCTTATACCATATATAACATTGTTATTTCTTCTTGGTATTCCATTATTTTATCTTGAAGTTAATCTTGGACAATTTACTTCACAAGGTCCAGTTCAATGTTGGAGAATGGCACCAATCTTTAAAGGTTAATTTAAAATTCCAAAACAAATTAAAAGTTTTTTTTTTCTTACTTAAAATAAAAAAAACAAATTTAGGACTTGGTATTTCAATGAGTTTAATGTCATTTTTTCTCACAGTTTATTATGCTATGTTACTTGCTTATTCAATTCTTTATCTTATACTTTCATTTCGTTCAAAACTTGAATGGACAACATGTGGTTCATGGGCAAGTGCAAGTATGTAATTGATTTTAATAAAATTTAATTTTTATATTGATTTTAATAGATTGTACAGATGATTTTTCTACATTTGTCATGCGTTGTAATTATGAAAATACATATAAAGATCCAAATGGTCGTTGTTATACATGGACAGATCAAGGTTTAACACAAATTGGTTGGTGGGATGTACAAAGTCGTATACAATATCGAAAACCTGTTTTACCAACAGATGATTATTTCAAGTAAATAAAGATTTTAAATAATTTTTAAGAAAAAAAATTTTTCAATTATTTTTGTTTTTTTTTCTGCTAAGTAATTATATATTAAATAAATCACCAGGTATGGGTTTTATATCAACAATGGAATGGCCACTTGTATTATGTTTATTGGCAGCTTGGGTTTTAGTCTTTATTTGTCTTTGTCGTGGGATAAAAACTTCAGGAAAAGTAAGAAAGATAATTAAAAAAAAGAATTATTTATTTATAATTTTTATACTAATATAATAATTTTAGTTACGCCTATATGTAAGTATAATTAGAATTTTAGGGGAACAAGTTCTGCATGTAAATAGAAGAAATTTTTTTTTTGATTCGATATCACATGCTTATCATTGATCATGTTGTTCCTTCGAATTCCTCGTTCTTTTTTTTTATTGAGAAACACAAAGGAAAAATGAATAAATAAATAAATGAATAAATAAATAAATGAATAAATTTTCCTATATCTATAGGTTGTTTATTTTACTGCCGTGTTTCCATATGTTATTCTTCTTATTCTTGGTATACGTGGTTGGACATTGCCGGGCATGTCACGAGGAATTTATTTTTATATGAAACCTGATTTAAGTCGATTAGCTGATCAACGGGTATGGAATGATGCAGCAAATCAAATATTTTTTGTTTTATCTGTTGCATATGGTGGTTTAATAACATTGTCTAGTTACAATAAATTTACTCGAAGTACACTTGGGTAAAAGAAAATCAATGATTTTGATTTCATAATAGTTTTATCTTTTATTTTCTAGAAATGCATTAGTTATTTCAATTACAAATGTATTAACTTCAATATTTGCTGGTTTTGTTATATTTGCATATTTAGGTTATTTGTCCTATATGACCGGACAAGAAGTTCAAGATGTTGTATCAGAAGGTAAACATATATATTTATATATTCATTTGAAATCTAGCTATGTTTAATATTTTAGGTCCTGGTCTTGCATTTATTGTTTATCCATATGCAGTAACTACACTTCCAGGAGCACCATTTTGGTCAATACTTTTCTTTTTTATGTTAATTTTACTTGGTCTTGATTCTGTGGTAATAAACTATAAAGTTTTAAATATGAAATACAAATTTATATGACTTTATTTCTTTTGTTTTTTTAGTTTGCTAGTGTTGAAACAATTGTTGTTGTCATCACAGATCAAATTCATGGATTACGTCGATATAATACATTAGTTATACTTGTTGTTTGTATAGCTATGTTTGCACTTGGTTTACTTTTATGTACTGATGTAATTAAGAAAAAATAATTTTATTATTGATTTTATTTGATTGTATTTCTTTTTTTGAAATATTCTAGGCAGGAATATATTGGATAACATTTTTAGATCAGTTTACTGGTTCTTATCCAGCATTTGTTATTGGTTTACTTGAATGTATTTGTATAGCATATATTTATGGTTTGTGTTTGAAATATGTTTTCTTTCATTTATCTTTTCGTAAACATGATTATCTAAGAGAAAATTTATATGTATTACATATTTTAATTTTATATGAATTTCTTTCTTTTTCTTTCAATATTCTAGGAAGTAATCGGTTTCGTGCAGATTTAATAGCAATGCTTGGTTCAAAAGATTACGGTGTGCGACTTTATCGTATATTTCAAATATGTTGGTTATTTATAACACCAATGTTAATTATTGTATGAAAAGAAAATGAGGAAATTTTGTAAATTTATTTATCAATTCTTGAAAATATTTAGGCATTAATTATATTTACATCAATAAATTATCCATCACTTAAACTTGGACGTTATAATTTTCCTAGTTGGTCATATAAACTTGGCTGGGGTTTAACAGGTTTAATTTTATCTGGTATTGTATTTTATGCAATATATGCTATTATATATTTATTACTTGTAAAACGAAATGTAAAATAAAGAAACAAATTTATGAATTTATTTGAAATAATAGGATTTTTTTAAATCTATTTCTTCTTTTTTAGTCATGGCGAGCTTTAATTAGTCCGGAACAAAAATGGGGTCCTTTATTAGAACAAAATCGAAAGAAAGTTAGTTATTATTATGGTAGACAACAAGGAGCTCTTGTTTCGCTATTTGATCGACTTACAAAACGAACTTCATCACGAGACACATTAGCTAGATCAAAGGTACGTATAATATAACATTATGTGACTGACGAGGAAAGGTCTCCAAGTGTAAGCTTCTGTTTTCAATGCCCTCTATGCTAATTTGTAAAGCTCGATGAGCTAATCACGATAGCATAAAATATTCTTTCCTAGAGACTGTCTTTGAAGGTGAGGTTGATTTCAACTTCAGAAAAATTACTGTAAACTGTTATTTCGAAAATTTTAATCTCTATGTAAGTTTAGTATTTAGCATTGAAAATTTAAACACTGGATGTGTCCTAATTGACTGTACATATTTACACAATTAATGTAAATAGAAGTCTTAACTACGTTGATACTTTGAATATTGTAATAACATAAATACGATGAATATACGAAACTCAACAATTTTTTCAAAATTCACCTAAATTTAATAGTGTGCTCGTATATTTAGAACATATACTAAAAGTATATTTTGATCAAATTTCAATTACCTACATTATCTGTTGTACATTGCCCCATGAACATGAAAGAAAATAACTAAATAGAATGCAGGCTATTAAAACCGAGATATCCGACAAAGCTTTAATTATTGCATCATTAAAATAGTATGTCCAGAGAATCGTGATCAGTTTTTAAAAAAAAGCTGAGTTCTGGCATCCATAGTATTGAAATATTGAAAGTAAAGATGTAGATTATGTAGATGTATACATTTCAATTAATCTGCATTCAACGTTAAAGTTTTCAATGCTGAGAACTCAACTAATATAAAAATTAAAATTTCCGAAATAACAATTCACAATCATTTTTCTGAAGTTGAAATCGACTTAACTCCTCCAAGACAGTCTATAGCGAAGAACACTTTATGTCATCATGATCGGTTCATTGAGTTTTACAAACTAGCATAAAGTCGATTGAAAACGGAGACATTTCCTCGTGAAATACGAATCTTATAACATTTCATGCTGTAAACGACATTCAGTATATGTATATCTATATATAGCCATCACGATCATTATTGGATGATGATCGGTAAGAAAATCTATTTGATTGTGCTTACACTGCTTATATACTCTTCTTATGCTTATCTGCAGCTTATAAAAAAAAACAAATATTTTAATAGAAAATTATACGATTGATGATTATTTTAGAGCATCGATACCAGTATCAATGAAAAAGAAGAATCAATTTCAACTACACGACCACCGAGTCGAATCGGAAGTGAATCTGCTGTTTGATTCTAATGGACAACGTTATAATGGTTATCCTGTATGAACATTTTTCTTTTGTAAACTTATATTTGTGTAATAGAATATAAATAATAAATAAATAAACTAATAATATAATGTTAGTAATATGTAAGAACACCTTGATTAGTTAATACCGGTTGAAATTTTGCATCACGAGTGTCATTAGTATATGTAGTATAATCTAATTCATCTGCTCGATGACCCATAACACTACGTTGTTCAAGATATCGACTGAGTGCTTCCGCATATGGTAATGTAATACTTCGATTCCAATAAGGCTTTTCAATTTGTAATAACTCTCGAATACTCTTTGCAATTGACTAAAGAGAAAAAATTTTAAAAAATAATTTAGAATTTTTACTTTTATTAATAATTATTTTCAATGATTTATCTATAGGCTTTTAGTTTTTTGTTTACACGTCTTTTAAAGTTATAACAATATTTTTAGTTTCTTTAGTCTCTTTAGCGCGTAAGTAGGCGTGCGTATTCTCTTCATGCTTATCTATCTACACTCACACACTACCAGGATTCAAAGATGAAACATACAAAAATCATAGTAGCTTGAAAAACGTAAAAGTAAAACAGGATAAGTTTAATTTCTCGTGAACTCCTCTTTAAAGGTAGAATTGGAGTGATATATAGAAAATTATACATGATGTAAAGGAAGATTTTCTTTTTCAAATAGTAATTATCAAGTGTAATATGTAGGCAATAACTGGTTTTGAAAGGTTTTTTCTTATTGATAAAGTAATGCTCATAGTGCACGAACAAGATTCATTGATTTGCACTTTAGTACGAAGGATTTTGATTGAAGTCAAAGCGATATTTCAAAGTAGTGCTATCATAATTTATAGTGGTAATTTAATATTTATTGTGGATGTGTGTGAAGATAAGACGTTCATCTACACCTATATTTCAGAGTTGTCTTTATTCATATAAATGCTTTTGTATCTCAATTAGTTTGTGTTCATTCGATGTTCGATTTCATATTACAGTAATAATAAGACAGTGTGTTCAATTTGAAAACAAAAAGCTGATGACATACATAATAATAAGGATGTCTTAGAGCACTCTAGAAATTGCAGTTAGTTAAAAATAAAACTAAATGTATCAGTTTTCTTAAAATTGTTATGAATAATTTTTTTTTAAATTCCAAGAAAAAATGAAAATCTCAAACTTTAGATTGTTTTATATTAAAATAATTTAAATTGAACAAAAAAGCCATTATTGAAACTGAATTAAACAGTTTTTAGATTTCAGTTTTATATTCGCAAATCAAAAGATACAATTTGCTTACTATTATATGTTTAAAATCTTGAACACCAAGTGCATTTAAATGTGATGCATCACACCAAATTAATCGACGTCCATCAACTTTATTTCGAAGAAAACATTCCTAAATAAAGATTTTTAGATAAGACTAAAATATTGACCACTTGTAAATCATACTCGATATTGTGGAAATCCAAGCATTTCAATAAAATTTGCTACTTCATCACATGACCAATAGATAGCAGCTGAAACTTCATTAGATTCAATATCACGTGTTTTTGTACGTTCTAATGCTCTATCATCTTCAGTTCGGCCGAGTTTTCGCAAATCGGCCATAGTCATTACCATATTTGCCATTTTGAATAATTTTTATTTTTAATTGAAAAATAAAATCTAAAAAAAAAATACAAAATCAAGCTTTATTCAGAAACTAAGACATGGGTACTGTATCTAGGAAATTACGCATACCAGAACTTTTATATGGTGAGAAAAAACTTTCGGAAGGTATATGATCATTTTTTTTTCTTTCTATAACACATTCTCCCATTAAAAATCGCATAAAACTAATATTGAATTAGTTTAAATAGTTGACTGTAAGATTTTAAACATCTAGGGATTCCAAATCGTGAACAAATCAATATTTAAAAACAAGAATTTTTCTATGGTGACAAATATTATTTTACTTCAACATTCATGTCATTTCGTTACTTTAATAGAATGTAATTTATAAATTGGCATTATCACTGTTGCTTAGTATCATCCTTCGTTTTCATAGCAAAACAGCCAATGATACATAACGACATCTATTATTAACATCTCAAAAGTTTTTTAAGATTTAACTTTATTACACTTGTTTTCTTATTAAAAAAAAACTAATCGATACGAATTAATTTTCTTAATATTATTTTTTTTTTCGATTGGATATTTTTAACAAAGGCGCAGTCTTTCTTCTAGCAAAGTCTCTGTTCTCTATTCAAAGAATCGTTTCTTGTATTGATCGATATGTTGTAAAATAATTGTCTTTTAGATCTCCTTATTAATTTGAAAACTAATGGAGATCAATACAGCCGTTAATTTTAAAGCACGATTACAACGTTTAATAGCTTATCAAGATGTTTTTGTACGTAATAATCTTTTAGCACAACGAAGTTGTGATCAAGGTTTGTTTTAGAAAAAAAATTAGACAACAATAAAAATCTTTTTTCATATTTTAAACAATAGAATTTAGTGCTTTTCTTAAATTTCATAATGATCTTCGTCGTAAATATGTTGATTTACGTGCATATAGTGAACAAATGGATCGATATGTTGAACAATATCGAACAGAATTAGCACGTAAAGATAAAAAAATTCAATCACAAAGGTATTAACAAAAACTTATGATTTTTATCATAATAAAATTGATATATATTGTTTATTTTAGTTCACAAATTCTTCGTTTAACTCAACATAATAAACGTAGTAATGAACGTTTAAATGAATTACAACGTTGTTTAGATCAAATTAAAGGTACAATAACAGGACAAAATACATTTGATCAATTACGTGATATACTTCGGTATGTTTTATTAAATTTGAATTTTTTCTTCTCACTAATAAGTTTTTTATTTTAAAGAGATTCGGCTATGTCAGATAGTGAAACAACAACAGATTTATCGGATAAAAATTGTACCGGAGAAGAACTTGATTTGGAAAATTTACATAATTTACCTAAAGTTGTTAGTCAATCAACAGGTGTTGGTGGTATAAAACGACCTGTAAATTCCGTTGATCCAATTGATATGAAACGTCCTAAACATGATGAAGTAAAAAAGAATTCTTTTTTTCCTGAAATAAAGAATTTCAAACATTCTTTTTTCTTCTAAAAGTCTTATCCAATCGGTCGTATAGTTGCAACGACAACAACAACAGTTGATATGAATGATTTAAATAATGGACCTGTTGTAATAACATCAGAAATTCATCATCAAGACGAACAACAACATCGAGCAACAACAAATATTGCTGATCAATTAGGTGCATCACCATATTCAAATATAACCGTTGGAAGAGCTCAAACAGATCAATATTCATCACCAATGTGTGTACCAACTCGTCATTCATTATCAGTACAAAGACCAAAACAAAAAGTACGAAAACCATCAAAACAATGGCTTGAAAATAAATCAGGTATAAGAAAAAAACAAAAAGCTATTAGCGTATAATCCCTGTAAGATTAAAATACGGGACACATCTCTTTACAATCCTTTTACTTAGTCCTCCGGAAATGCAACAAGGAAGTAGTTCAAGTATTAGAATGAAATGTTATTAATATACAATCTGCGATCATATATCTGCATCTGTCATGCTCTGTAGGGGATCCAAATTTCTACCCTATATATATATATCAACATTCCTTTTAAATCGTGTTCTACAAACTATTAATTTGAAAAAAAAATTTTTTTTGAAATATTCTAGAAGAATCTGAATTAAGTACTGATGATATATTTTGGTCAAAACATGATGAAGATCAGCAACAACAACAACAACAACAACAATTTCAAGCTTCAATGTATCCAACATTACCTAAATTAACAAGTCCACCATCAGTACAACAAAAAACATTAACACCATCAACACCTATACAACAAATTACAACACCAAATAGTTTAATGAAATCAAGTCCATCAAGTATTGGTACATTACGTGCACGTGCACACAATTTTATATCAAGAAATATTCTTATACCAGAAACATGCTGTGTTGTATGTACTAAAAATAAAATGACTTTCTTTTTTTGCATGAATTTAATTAATTGATTTTGTCTAGTGTTTGAAACGAATTCATTTTGGTAAATTAGCTTATCGTTGTCAAGCATGTAGTGCTCTGTGTCATACGGGCTGCAAAGAAAATTGTGCTACACTTTGTTTACCTAGTGTTAAAACACCAAATCGTGGTGCTGTATCGAAATTTACACCACGTGAATCAAATCAATTACAAGTACCTGCTTTACTTGTACATTGTATTAAAGAAATTGAACAACGTGGTTTACAAGAAGTTGGAATCTATCGGTTGAATGTGTACGTATATATATACATATATTTAGTAATTACAAATGAAGAAATTTTTATTAGAGAATAAAAAAAAAATATTAATGAAAGTTCGTTATGATTTCAAATTTTGAAAGAAAATTAATGTTCACCTATTTCCCCTTTTATTAATACACTAATTATTATGAATACTATTCTATGTCAAAAATAGATAGGTAATGATAATGATAATCAAGGCATATTCCGACAGTATGATAATAATAGATAGTAATATTTAAAAAAATACCGATCACTACCATAGTTTTGTCATACAGTCATCGGTTGCTCATGTGACAAATATTGACATATTTTTCTATAAGAAAAGAACTACTTTTCATTGTAATCGAGCAACGTGTGAACTAAGTGGATGGCATCTCTCCGGATGACAAAATCTCGATAAAACATTTCAGTTGAGTTCTCAAAAAATTACAGTTCGATTGCAATAGCTTTTTTATCACTAAATTTATTGTCCAAAACAATTGCGAATCATCTTATTTCTTAATTTATTCATTTTTTTTTGAGATACCTTCAATGATTACATGGTCTATACTAGTTTCTCTATATTTTATACTGATTCTATACATTTCTTCAAATGACGTAGAGATGTCCCGGGCCTTCTGAATCATAGATCCCATCACTCCTGCCAAACTTGGAATACCCTCGAGACGAAGACATATGGTACCTTTATACTCTTAAATATGTAAAAGTATAGTGTTTATCTCTCGAATAATTTTCATCAAATAATAAAATAATCTAAAAAACTCTATATTAAATAAAATCATATTTCAGTGTTGAAGGTCAAGTAAAAGAACTTAAAGAACGTATACTTAAATCACGTACAGGTTTATTTGATTTATCACATTATAATGATATACATTTAATTTGTGGTGTGGTAAAAGATTTTCTTCGTTCATTATCTGAATCATTACTTACAAATGCATTATGGAAATCATTTGCAGCTATTATTGATGAAGAATCTGATTTTATAAAACAACAAAATTTTGACTCACTTATACAACAATTACCTAAACCAAATCGTGATACATTAGCATTTATGATTCTTCATTTACAACGTGTTGCTGTATCACCATTATGTCGAATGCCTATACTTAATTTAAGTCGAACAATGGTAAATATATTTATTGTACGAAGAAAAAAATTAATCATTTTATTTATATAATAGGGTCCAGCTATAATTGGTTATTCATCAAAACATGTATCTGGTATTGATATTGTTGGTGAAACATATAAACAAACAAAAATCTTAGAATTTTTTCTTAAAATGTCATCTGATTATTGGTCAAAATTTTTAATTGAAAATGATACTAATGAACCATCAGCACCAATTAATAAACAACAAATTGGTACACCTATTCTAACACGTCATCATCATTATCGAAATACACCTCCGACAGCTTATCCAACACCAGCAAATACATTTTTTTCTCCACTTTAAAAATAATCTATTCGAAAAATTATTATAAATAAACCTCGATCTTTTTTTTTTTTACTTATCTTTATTGTTAAAATTCCTTATTGTTCATTCTATTCTTTCCCCCGAAATGTGAGCGTTTCTTGTCTTGTAGATTTTTTTTTTGTCTTATTTGGATGTGCGTATATATTATATTAGATAATTCACGAAATAAAACAAATCATATGTGTAGAAAAAAAAATAACAAGATAATCTTTATAATGATGACAAATTGAGTCAAATAAGATAACTCATGATCTTGAAAATAAGTGCAGAAATAACATCGTTAATTTAATTTTCGATGATAATATTTACAGTAATAATATATAGTGTGTGTGACAGGAAAACACATTCATCAGAGTATATTTTCCATTACGAAAACAAATCAGAAGAAATCTTGTAATTTGATTATTGATTTGTATCATTATAAGAACTCTTCATCATATGCAAATATTTTTTATTATTAACAAAGATAGATATAGTACAAACAAAAGCAAAAGATTGAACAGCAAAAATGTCGATCGAACCAATCATTTTGAAGATATTTTTGAGAGTTTTCAATATCACATGAGTAGTTAATCCGAATAAAACATGTAAGAGAACTAAGGAGTGATTAGTTTGTTTATAGGAGTCATCCGTAAAGAACATCAAGATACTTACTAGGAATATTTTTTGTTTTTTTTTCCACACAACTTTTAGCGACGTTTTAAACGTAAGCTGGTTTCAAAGAACGTGTTTGAATGGGAAATGAAGTGAAGGAAGCAGTTGAATAGGAATATGGAGTTGAAATAATTGGAGATTATGCTACATGAACAGAT